AGATAATTTTTTTAGTATTCTGTCTAAAATGTTGCTAAATAATTTATTAAACTGATCAGCTGTCATTGGAATCTTATTTTGATGTAATTTTCCTCTTACTGTTTATGTTATGTTCCACATGCATCTAGTTGGGTTCTTTGATGTCTTTATCATTCTATCATTAAATTTACGTTTTGTGTTGACAATTGCCCATTTATATCCCTTTTGATATTCCTTAAACATTTTTTTGTTACTTGGAGTCTCGTACTGCTTACATACTTCTCCCAGAAAATGGAGTGTGTCTCTTATATTTTTTAAGCTCTCATTAAACCAGTGTACACACCCCGGGTTAGAGCTACGAGCTTTGTAAATCTTTTCGGGAAAAAACTCCAGATAGGCTCCAGTCAGCAAGGGCGGATTCAGGATTACGTCTAGGGGGGGGGCGCATACGATATTTGGGGCTGGTCATTTTTCAACCTAAGTGGAACTTCTAGAATTTATCCTATTATTGCTCCTTAAAATCCATTGTGTTCTATCTGGTCAATGCCAGCTTGACAAAATAAAACATGGAAAATGCGCCGAAATCCTCAGAAAGGCAATATGTTATTATATGAGAACAAAATAAGTACGTGGCATTTATAATTAACTAGTGTAATAGTATTAAAGATTCAAACATAAAAAACTTTTCTGTTAACCGAAAAAAAAAACATTCTGAGGGACCTCGAGACATATCCCAGTCCATTCCACACAAAACAAGTCTTTGACGGCAAAAACGAATATGAAACCGTAAAATTCTTATTATCGTATGGACGCTAGCCGAGACAAAGAAGAAGGATGTCTATAGACCACCTATAGATCGTGTCTTGAGACCGTCTCCAGACTGCCTATAGACAAGTTGCGCAACGGGGTCTACTAGTGCGTACTAAACTTAAGGATTAAGACTCTGAACTGCCAATTAAACAAATCAAGTAAATGGTGCAAATAGGTGTACTTAACACAATCAAGCACTTTTATTATATGAGAAGGTGATAAGAATATCAATAGGTATAGTCAATTATTTTTTGAAATTCAATATAGATGTTACAGTTATTTTTCAGACTTTCGTTGTCGAACTTAGATTTACGGCATAGTTGTTGTTTCTCAGTTGTCCAATCGGTGTTGATCGTACGTAAAAATGTTGGAAATCTTTGGAAAAAACTAGGTATATCTGTTAGATCGTAATTACTTTGATAATGTATGTTTGGAAGAAACAAGTACATGAATACAGGGCTGTATATATTCACGTGTAGTGCAGAAGCTCTGTTATTTAAACGAATTCAATATAGCAACATAAATAGACACATACGCGGGAAGAGATGCGGGACGTGTGGTATTGACTTTGAGCATCGATTGGCGCAGTTTCTGGACAGGCCACAGGCGCACCGCTAAACAAAACTCATAAATGTCTATTTCCAATTTAGGCATTCATCTAACATAGTGCTTCGCTGCAACACCAACCCCTAACAAGATCAATCAAGCTTTACAAACTTTTCAAATTACTATTGAGCAACAAACAGAACACTTTTTAAGTGCAATCTATATAGCTAATATTTTAGTCAGACTTGTCACAAGTCACAATACTCGTATATATACACTGTTAGATTCGTCCTAGCAGTGCGAGTTATACTGTGTATTAGAATTTTGTAGAATCAAAATGGCAGATTTTTTACGCAAATAGCCAAATCAGCTTAATGGGCTTGGGCATTCAACTCGGCATTCCAGGTGCGGGAGCGTTCAATCTTCGGTCCGAGCGAAATTACTAAGTCACGCAATCTGAGTAGAATCATGTCATATTCTCCGCGAGATTATGCTGCAATGGATTACGATTATGATGCTGCCCTAGGAAATGCTCGAGCAGCTGCTCGCATGTATCGGGAGTATGTGGTTAGAAGAAGTGGACCACAACCGGCGGTACATCCCGACTACAGCGTTTTTCTACGCGTCCATAATGCGTATATGGAGGGCCGCATAATAGGCGCTACTCGTCAGCTAGGAGCCCGGAAAATACAGCCAGAAGAAATAGAAGATATAATAGAAGCAGCAGAGAGAGATTGCTTTAAGCACCAGAACCATTGCCCGAACCCCCATACTTCAGTGCAATACGCTCAGAGAAACTGCATCCTTACCATGTACAAAAGGTACATGAATTGCTTCCAAGCCACTATGCACAACCGGTTGAATTTTGTGAGAATATGTTGAGAAAGTGCGAAGAGGATTAAATTTTTTTCGACAGCATCTAATGGACAGATGAATCCAACCTTAACCGAGATGGAATATTTAACGTGCATAATTTCCATCCATGGAGCGTGGAAAATCCACACGCTATTCGCTGACACAGCTTTCAACGTCAGCTCGGCGTTCATTTATGGGCTGGAGTACTCAACAAAAAATTAATTAGACCATATGAATTGCCCGCCAGGTTGAATAGTCAGTCATATCTTGCTTTTCTACAAAGCAGTTTGCATGAGCTGCTAGAGGATGTACCTTTGGACGTTCTAAACCGCATGTATTTTCAATGCGATGGTGCCCCAGGTCACTTTACACGGGATGTACGGCATTGCTTACAGAGAGCCTTTCCTGGGCCTTGGATAGGTAGAGGTGGACACATACGTTGGCCTCCAAGGTCACCCGATTTATATGCTCTAGATTTTTTTATATGGGGGTTTTATAAGGGGATAATCTACAAATCTGAGTATACAAATGTCAACTAACTGCGCCAGAGAATTGATGAAGCAGAAATAAAAATTATGGAAAACGCCTATTCATTTCAAAGACTAAAGGAACCTTTTTGTTAGAAGGTGCCGCTTGTGAATAGAAAATAATGGAGGCCATTTCGAACATGTCCTTTAAAAGTTAGTTAAAATAAATTATCTTTCACATTTGTCGGTAAATCGCCATAATGAGCGGTTAAACACAATAGGTTCTGTACTTGTAGGTGGTAAGGATTCTACTGCGTTTCTTACGTTTATCGCATCACAACAACGAATGTGACATGACACACTTATCGTAGCAAGCTGAAATTTTCAGGGTTTATTCTACATAAAATAAATAATGAAATAAAACCTCAATTTTTTATCGTCCTCCAAAGTTGAGGGATGGAGATTTTTCACAAAAAAAAATTAATTTAAACATTTTTTTGCGGTGATTTCTAAGTGGCTCTGTTAAAAAGTGCCGTAACCATTGTTAAAAGTTCATCTCAAAAAAAAAATTTCACAAAATTGCCCTATTCTGAAAAATTTGTCATTTGCAGTTATAATAATGACCTGATCAACAAAGTTCCAATTATTAGATTCGATTCTACTGTGAAATTCTAGTACGCCTTTTTGTGTCATTGGCCTGAATACTGATTCCTTCATATCAGTCTTGTGTTTCAACCCATTCATGCGCTCTAAATTAAAGTAGACTAGCTGCCCCAAATGGTCAGATACATTTAGATCAATATTTTCATTTTAATTACGTCAAAGTTAACAAACACATTATCTAAACAATTTTCACCTCTGGTTCCCGCAGTAAATAGCTTGTTTAGCCCATGACATTCCAGAAGATCTTCTAATATATTTGCCTCCTTTTGAGTAGTTCCAAATAGGACATTGAAATCACCTGTGATGATAATATTGGCACTCTCAAAGTGTTTCAAAAAAGTATCAAAACAACTCAAAGGCGACCGATAAATGCTGAAAACATACAGATTAAGTGATTTTATATAAATGCAACACAATTCAATACATTTTTCATCATTTATTTTATTTCAAGTGATGGAAGAATTAGAAACCTAATTTCACAATTCTTGAATGCCTACCCTAAATATTTTTGAGTACACCCTTAGGTGACCAAAATTTTGAAAAAACGCAAATCTGAACTACAAAAACATTGAAATACCAAACTTGAGAACGCCCTGAAGTCACTGTCAAAATTTCCTAAAAATTTCAGCGGTCCCTAAACATGACAGACTTCCACTCCTCCTAGTGAGCGAGGATCAAACGAGTCACAAGCTTTGAGGGCAGGAGCATAAAAATTCTAGAGGGTGCGGAATCAAAAACATCTTGCTGCAAAGTGGTGATTTCTTTTAGTTACTCCTTAAAAGAGAGCGCCACGTGTTCAGGGTAGCGCTATCTATTGAGTGTACTATTAAATAGTTTCTGTAAAGTCACGTACGATGTAGGTTACTATGCCGCTTATGTCTCTATTTCAACTAATGCCCAGAAGAGGGACATATAATGACATGTCAGTGGCACCAACTCACCAACAGCAATGGCGCATCATGGGGAGTCAACTCATACGGGAGAATGGGAAACAGTGCGGTGCTGCTGCTCTTATTTGAAGTACATTTTTTGTTGAGTTGATGAACTTTGGAATCTGGAGTGTAACACCTAACATGTTGATGAAATTGTATAATAGAACAACTCATTTTCTTCTAGGTGTTTGTAATCAACGAAGGGAGCATGCTGGTCGCTTGAAAAAAGGTTTAGAGATAAAGAGATTTTATATTGGAAGGATGTATTTGCTAGAAAATTACGTCAGGTTAACTGGGCCACTTATGCAGGTTGACTGAACAGAGGTACAAACAAGATATATTATTTAAATTTACTTTTACTCAACACTTTCTACATGGAAATTTTGTCAGCTTCTTAAGATTTAGTGCCCTGGAATCTTCATGCGCCGCCATTTTTGTTATTTAATTGACAGAAATATACAATAAAATTGTCATAAATTGTTAAACGGCAAAAATGGCCATGCATGGAAAATTAAGGGCACTAAACCATAAGAAGCTGGCAAGCTTTCCATCATTTACTATTACCAACCTAATACCTCTAGCGAATAAGGCGACTAGCTATAAGAAAAATGTAAAAAATATATCATAGAAAATAATGTCAACACTTTTTAACAACCATTTTTATTTATAATAAGAAACATACTGAAGATACATTAAAATATTATAGATACTTTTAATAAACTGTAAAGTCAAACATACTGAATATGTATGAAAATATTGTAGGTAATTTTAATAAACTGTAAAGTCAAATTCATTTAAATCAACTTGAAATGACACCATGTTGACATATCTAGCGCTGTTACGTTTCGCTTGCATGGATAACTTACAAACAATATCAGCTTTTACAACAAAGCCATTTTCATTATTTTTAAAAAAAATATTTGTTTCTTTGTGGCGTTTTAAAAAGTAACCTCAAAACCATCATTTACAGCATGAATAATTTCACCAACATAATGTCTGAAATTTAATTTATTTTGCACATACACGTTCACGATAACAAAATCGCCTTTTGTCACAGATTGCGGACTATCGTCATATGCATCAAATTCTTCATAGATGATAAATAACACTTTCATCATCAGAAGAACTGTGTTCTAGAATACGTCTTTTTACTGCCTCTTTTTTCTTGTTATTTGTTTTTTTTTGTGTGCTTTTTCTTCTCGAAGTCCTGCTTCTTACTCTATGTTCTCTGTCTGTCAAAATCACGGATTTTCCTTTCTTTCGTCGAATTGTAGACTTTCATTCACCAGCTTTGGGGTGAGGACGGATCTGTTCAGGAGTTTGTATGTATGTTTGTATTGTTGTTGAATTTGTAATGTCGGCTTTTTTATCTCAATTGAAGGTAAAGTCGGTTTGGTTTGGTCTTTTTCAGTTTGTAGTTTAGCAGTGCTCGACGATTCAGCTTGTGATGGTCCGGCCTGTGATTCTTGATATTTTGAGAGCTAAAATTGTGACAGAACAGGACCTGTCATGTCATGTCGAATCGGTTTAGGCAGTGCTGTATTATCTTGTGACGACCCAGCTTGTGGTGCCTCTTCCTCCGATGCTTTCCCTGGTCTATCTGTAACATATGACGAAAGAAATTCTTCATCCGAAAATATTTGTTCATTAAACGGCTCTATTCCTGCTGCACGAAATCCAAAGCATTATATTTTTTGGAGTAAATGCTTGCAAAAAAGCTTCTCCAACCAGACTTCCAATGTCATAAATAGTGATAGGTTTTCCGGCATGATTTACCATCCATCTGTCACAACTTGCACCATAATATTTTTTAAATAGCCCAAATACTGCTAAATCCAATGGTTGCAGCTTGTGGTTGCAATGGGGTGGCAATGTCAAAAGGAGTATACCGTTTTGCTTAGCAAAATTTAGTCCTGCAATACTTAAGTGACTCTCATGATTATCAAGGATTATTAGTTTGGAATGTTCTTTAGATGGTCTCTCGTTTTGTACGAAATGCTGCAACACAGGAAGAAACAACTACTGTTCATCCATACAGAAAACGAGGCTCCACCCTTAGAGCCGGCTGGAGTTCCATGAAGCATATTTTCTTTAAAGCGGACTCGGGAGAATATTAAAAAAGGAGGAACATATCGTCCTGTAGCTCCAATAATTCCTACAACAGTTACGAGTGTCCCTCTTTCAGCCGACGTTCCTTTAATTGCAAGAACCTTAGGAGGTTTATGGACCGTGGTTACACCGGATTCATCTAGATTGTATATACCATTAGATTGCAAATTATATCTCTCTTTAAGCTCCGTAAAATTTTTAAAAAATGCCTCCACATTCGTCTTATTAAAACTGGTTGCCCTACTTAAGCTTCTTTGTTCTGGCGTCCTCAACGAAAAGTTGTGCCTGTTCATAAAACTAAACATCCATTCTTTGCCTGCCATTGCTTCTCGGGACCAACTTTCTTTTATGGTTTTGCCATTGGCCAGCGCAAACTCGTCAGCTAGAATACGAGCTTGTTTAGAAGACAAGCCAAACTGACTGTTAGATGCATGCTCTAAGTATTTTTTAAGAAGTAATTCTTCATCGGGACTAAAAGCCAAAAGATGTTCGTTGTTGGTGCGAAAATGTATATCCAAGTTGTTTTTTTCCCGACATTTATCGACATACCTTTTTGAAGTAATTCTTGGGATTTTAAACTGAAGTGCAACACTTCGAGTTGTTCGACCACTATGCACAAATACATACACAAAAAAAAAATTGATTAAAAAATAATGTTAAGCTTACGTAAACACAAGAAATAAATGCCAAAATACTTACTGGAACGAAATATACGTCAAACCAATTGTAAAACTCTATTTTGCTAGCTGTAACACAAAAAAACTTGGTAACACAAATTTTTCGTGGCGGCCATGAAAAATATGTTTGCTGATTTACGAGATTAGAACCGACTTATAAGAAATCTGCACCGAACAGTGTCAACAAACGTAACAAAAGACGCTTTCGGGCAAAATCAAGTTTAATTTATCATTACTAGATGGCAGGAACATTGATGTGTTCAGTTAACCTACCTGTTCAGTTAACCCCACTCTACCCTACTTGCCAGCAGCATGTAGTTTTTTATTTATAAACTCACAAAGGGTTACAAAGAAGAACAAAAAATGTAAGTTTCAATTTTGAATTTCTGTAAAAAAACTAAAAGCACGTTCTTAGAATTCTTTTAAAAACTACTCTAGTTTAGCCCGATTCTAACGTATGCCACAAGTCACAAAAAAGTTTAAATAATTTCTTGAATTTGTATATCTTGTGAACAGGGTCAAATTTTTTCCGTCGAATAATAACAATGAATTTTTGTTTCTGTTGTGTAATTTATACGTACAAGGAAACTTAAGGTAAAAATTTTTGTCTCCCTCGTACACAGCGGAGCAGTATCATCTGTCTCTCTCTTTTACTAGTTGAGCGGCTACTGGCTGTCTAACGCTTTTGTTACTTCTACGTAGTGCCGCGACCTGTGACTGTTGTTGTTTTGTCAGTTTTCGTTGAGTTCTGTTTTGATAATGGCTGTATTTACAAATGAAGAGTATGCGGACATGTTGGTGTACGGACAAGCCAACTGTGTTGCGCGAGCAGCACAAAGAATCTACGAAGAGCGCTATCCTAAAAGGCGTGTACCTACTTGCCACACATTCCAAAACACTTACCGACGCTTACGAGAAACCGGTCCTGTGAGCAATAATGTACCAAGAGGTGTCGTAGTGCAACACAATGTTGACATCGATGAGAGGATTTTAGCACTTGTCGAGGAAGATGCTACTCAAAGCATCTGAAATGTAGCTTCATCACTGGGAATTTCGATTTGGAAAGTGTGGAAAGTACTTCGCCGGAATAATAAGCATGCCTCCCACTACACTCCTGTACAAGGTACGTAATTTTTTTATCACACAACTGTCTGCAATGGAAACTTCTTATCGCTTTTATTTAGCATGTACTGGCGGCAAACTACTGTTACCCGTATTTTCTTGTTTGCAGGTCTTGAAAACAATGACTTCGACAACCGAGTCCGGTTTTGTCGTTTCTTGCTGCACGCAGACGTGGACGATCCGGACTTTTTGACAAGTATTCTGTTGACGGATGAGTCCAAATTCACCAAGGAAGGAATACTAAATTTGCACAATCTGCACCATTGGGCTTCAACAGATCAGAACCCAAGGGTCAAGAGGCCACGCTCTTTTCAGGGAAGATTCAGTGTGAATGTTTGAGCAGGAGTAATTGGCAATCATGTGATTGGGCCACATTATTTGCCAGATCGTCTTAACGGAGATAATTATCTACATTTTCTGCAAAATAAGTTGACCGAATTGATGAATGAGGTGCCAATTTTCAATGGCGACAGACGAATTGTGTTCCAACATGATGGCTGTCCTGCACACTGGAGGCTAATTGTGCGGGAACATCTAAATGATCTTTTTCCGCATGCGTGGATTGGACGAGATGGTCCTATTCCATGGCCTGCACGCTCCCCAGACCTAATTCGATTGGATTTTTACATCTGGGGACGTGCAAAAGCACTCGTCTACGCGACAGAAGTTGAAACAATTGAGGAGTTGATCCGAAGAATAGAAGAGGCATTTGGTACGATTCGGCAAGAAATTCGCCTACGTACGACAACCGTCGAGATGAAACAATTCGAACTAGAGATTTATGAAACAGAAAAAATAATAAATGATTGAAATTTGATTTTACAAGTTTTTTATTTTCCTTCCCCTGTACACAAAATTTGCAAATTCAATCAGTTTGTGACTTGTGGCAGTAGTAGTTTTTAAAAGAATTCTAAGAACGTGAATGCCTTTAGTTTTTTTTTACAGGAATTCAAAATTGAGACTTACATTTTTTTGTTCTTCTTTGTAACCCTTTTGTGTATTACATTTTGGAATTTTTACTAAAAAAAATTAAAAATCTGCATAATTAATTCCGTTGGGCTAAAAACTGTTTGAGGGACCTGGGGTGATAGAAAAAAACCTCCTCTGTATAGTCAACATGTTTGAGTCATAAAATTTTATATGATGTATGATATATTTTAATGATGCTGTGAAAATTCCTAAATCATATATAAATCATATTGTCTGTAAAAGTTTTATATTCTGATTATCACTGTAATGGAAATGTGATATGATATTCATGTGTTAAAATTCTTATGAAAAATCTGGTAACTTCAGTAACCTTACAGTTGTTAACAATAACTATTATTTCTTTCTGAAATAATTTGTTTTCATCAATTCTAAAAATTTTCCAAACAGGTGCTTCAGAAGACCATCACCAGAAATGAAAATATTTGGACTATAAATATTATTGATGTGTTCATATAATATAAAATTTAAATAAACCTATATTCTCAAGTATAGATTTTTTACTGTTCTCAATTTTTCAAATAACTAGGATATATGTATGGCCTGTGTTGTGTTACTGACGCTTCTGCTTTAACAAATAAGTCACTGCTTATTTGTCAAGACAGCAACAAAAGTTGATGGCACATGGCGCTATAAAATCTTCAATATTAGATATGCTCACTAAAATCATACAACAATCTTAGATTTATGCAAATAGCTGGCAACGTCGCATGCGACGATCGTGCATAATCTAACCATGTGGCATCCGAAAAAAATGGCGACTGACAGTGACATAAATCAACCGTGTTGCAAGTGACTAAACTTCAGTGTATACGTTATGTGTGGCGCATCTCCAATGATTTTACCAGCGGGATGAAACTACTACGGGGGAATGGGAAACAAAGCATTGTTGCTGGTGAACAATATGACAACCATGTCGCACCCTCAAAAAATGGCGGCTTATTCGCAACTGTCGTTGTCTGATTGGTCAGATTTAAATTTCCGGCGGGTTTCTTCCTGTGCTATGTGCTGTGCCCTCGCTCTGTGCTTTGCAAAAATAACCTTACTTTTTTCAGCATGTCATATTCCTAACATTTCACTTTACATCAATTAAGTCCCTATTATGTTATTTGAGACATATGCCTTTTGTTCAGTTGTGAAGTATAAAAATGTAAGTACACAATGTAAATACTATAAAACAAACTCCAAATCAAAACTGTTTTTTAAGGTGATCCAAAGTGATACCAGTCAGTAGCCAAATTCTCATTATCAGAAGTGCGGAGATTACTTGTGATCTAACCAGAAGGCACAGCTCTGAAGTATATTTGCAGACCATAACATTTAAAAGTTTTTATATGACTCAATAACCAGTGATGATTTGTACTGCTTTTAGTCCAAGTTACATACTTAATTTCAAATAAGCTATTCTCAGAGCAGCAGGTTGATATGCAAAGCTCACTATAATTTCAATGAAATCGAAGCTACATG